TGCAGACACATCCATTCTGCAGTGCCTTCCTTGCTTTTTCCACCTTCCTTTTAAGAATACCAGGAAATTTCACAGATAAATAAACACTGGAAATACTGAAGCAGCAATGTCTCGTACTTTAAAGGTTAGGAAACACTGTAAATACTTTTTTTTTGGTGTAGCTACCTTTCTCAAAGCAATGCAAATTCAGTGTTTCCATCACCCAGCAGGCAGCACAGGCAGGGTTACTTCCTTGACAGACAGCAAATTTGTTTTATCCTCATCACCCAGCACGAGGCTGCATTCCTGATGGACTGCACACAACTCCAGCTCTGCTCTGGAGCTAAAGCTGCCCCACAGACCCTCCCTGCATGGCCCTCCTGACACAGCTCTGGGTGTGCTCTGACTCTCACAGCTTCCCTGGGACATGAAACACCACTACTGTGAGTCAGATGGAAAACAGGAAAACCAAGTGAAGGTTTGTTCTATAGTGAAGGCTTAGTCTGGATGTTCACTCAAAGAGAGTTTGAAGCTGTCTTTTTTAAAACCATAAGCAAACCAAATCTGTATTTCTAATCTATTTTGATGTATTTCAGGGCCATGATTTCATGGTGCACTCAGCAGGGCCGGGTTTACAGCTGCACCCAGTGATGTTAAAGGTCTTTCAGCAGGAAATGGTTCCACATCCCCAATCCCTGCTGGGGGCGGCCCAGGTGATCCCCAGAGCTCCCTCCCAGCCCAGGCATTCCCTGGTTCCCTGCCAAGCCAGGCACCCAGAGGGGAGCACTCCTGGAGAGCTCAGGATGGGCTAAAGCCCAGCCCCTGGGCAGCAGCACGGACAGGTTTGTGCTCTGAGGGCACATTCTGCTGCTGCTGCTGCCACAAACCCTCACAAGCCTGGCCCCACGCCCTGCACGCTGTCCCACACCTGGCAGGGACCTTACAGACAGCTCTTGTCACCACAGATGCACAGCTCAGCCCCAGGAGAGATCGAGTCCCGTGCAGAAAATGAGGCAAGGCCTGCAGAAAACAGAGGGCAAGGGCTGTAGGACTAAAAACACACCCAAGAAGTGCCATGGAAGCCCAGGTTTGCCAGCTCCCAGCTTCTCAGCCTAAGTATTGCACCACTGAGACCACTCTAGACAAAAAGCAAAGTTAACTTTTCCCCTAGGAAGGGTTAAATCCACTTAAACAATGTGCAATAAAGACAGAGCCATGCCCCAGTAACACTGAACTTGTTTCTATTCCATCCAATAATCTCAGGAAGCAAAATTAAAATCTATCTGCATGGTCTGAGGTCACTGGGGCGAGGGATGGTTATTTTAAATCTGAGTATTAGAAACACATGGTCCTCCATGGGGGCTTCCAGCAAAGCTGAACCTGCTGGTGCTCAGCCTTTCCAGGGAATGCTGAACACCTCCAAGGGTCCCATTCAGCCAGGGCTTCCACTCCACAGCATGGAAACAGAAATTGTTTAGACAAGATGATGAACGTTTCTGAAACTTCAGCCTTGAATCATTTCTGATTTACAAACTAATCCTAACCATGATGCATCCCCAGCCCCTGCTCTGAGGCTCAGCACTCCAGCACACCCATACACAGTGCTGATTAATCTGCACCACAGCAAAAATGTTCCAAATAAACAGAAATGTGGAATGACTTCAGCATTTTGCCCTAGCCATGTAAATACCCTTTAGGAGGAGCCCTTCCCTGCCCATGCCCTGCCTGGGCTGCTGCAGCAGGAGCTGAGCACTGCCCTGCACAGGGAATCTCGCTCTGCTGCTGCCTCCAGTAAGGCCTGGCAGCACCAGGGATGTTTTCATCCCTGACTGATGGGGCCAGGACAACTCTCCAGGTGTGTTCAGAGCAGGCAGAACAGGCTCCAGGCTCCCACTTCCATCAGGGTAACCAAAATCTCCCCCAGGCTGAGCTGGGTCCCCCTGCAGGATCCTGTGCCACCCACTGTGACCAGAGGTGACACTGCAACCTTGCTCTGCAGAGCTATTGCAAACAAAAACATCACACCACAATTTCTGGCCGGTCTCAGAAACTTGATTTTGACAAGAAATTGAAAATGTTACATAACCATATAATTAAAGGATTATGATGAGAGATGGGTTACTTAAAATGATCCTTTCTGGGGAGGAACATCCTGACTGGGCACAGCACTCTCCTGGCCAGGAGAAGGACATGAAGGGTCTGATTTTGCAGCTTATCTACCTATAAACTTATTTATGCTCTGCTGTGAAGTTCAGAGGAGCCGGAAGCAAAAGAGCCCCTCCTGAGCAGAGCAAAGAAATGACCCTGGCAGGGAAAGATGCCAAACAGGGCGAGTTTTGCAAGCTCCCAATATTTACCATCCATCCCAGAGTACTCCATTCTCATGCAAGCATGTCACAATGAGAAAACAACATCTCTATAAGGGTAAAACAAACAGCATTCACAATTTCTGAAAGCATTCTTCCACAATTATTGCACTAGATTAGATTGCCTCATCACCAGGGCCAGAGGCCATTTACACTATTTTCTTTCTTTTTTATTTTTTTTATGGAACAGATGAAAGGATTACAGAAAGTTTTCTGGGGCCAAATTTGGAGCTAATGATGGGAAAATTCTTTTGCTAATCCCCACTGCTAGCAGACTCCTGAGGCTGGAGAAAAACAATGTCTCCTGGTACCCTGCTTCTCTTTTGCTCATCAGTGCAAAAGGCCCAAAACCAGCTTTGAGCAGAGCCATAAAACCTGCAGGGCAGGCTGCAGTGAAAACCTGAGCACAGAACCACTGAGACCCCCACTAAAACGGGGATGTGAGAGCCAAGGATGGGGCTCAGCACAGCCACAGCCACCCCAGCTGTCCCCGGGGGGAATGGGCTGTTCCAGAACGTTCTGTGATGCAGGGATCCCACCTGAGCAGCCCCTGCTGCCTGCAGAGCTGTGGGGCTCAGGCAGGCTGGGGTCCCTGCTGCCACCTGGGACAGGGACAGGGACAGGACTGTGCATGGCACAGCTGCCCCCAGGGCTGCCCCAGGACAGAGCTCCAGCCCTGCCCTGCCCTCAGCACCGCCAGGCACCTCCTTCCAAAGGGGTTTAACCACTCTGCAGTCATTTAACAGACACAAGGCAATTCACACGTGAGGAGTAAACTTTGCATAACGAATCCCTGGTGCTGAGGCATCTGCAAGGGCACAGCTACCCCAGCTGGCACCAGGGGACAATGCCCAAATGCCTCTGGGCACCCAGAGAGCCGGGGCTGCCTTGCAATGGGAAAGCAGTGCTGAGGGGCTGAGTATTTCATTTATATATTCGTATGTAAATATGAATATTTTTCATTTCGGGTCAGCAAAAGAGTTTCTTTGCAGTGGGATGGCAGTGTGTGTGTGGTCACTAGGCTGAGAGGGGTCGTTCATCTGTCCCCACACGATGGCAGATGAGTCAGTCACTACTAAGAGTGATCAAGGTTCAATACTCTCCACAGCCCCATGCATTGAATTTAGGCTGAATGAATACTTGGATCTATCCTGCCCCATGAGCTACTCAGCTCCACAGACGCACATGATCCTTACATTGTCCTTGCCCAGTGTGATAGGGATAACCATGGAAAAAAAAGAAGATAGAGGCTGAGGATAGCCACTATTGCAGTCAGCATGGCCAATTCTTTCTCCCAGCTCCGGTTCAACATTAATATGCTGCTGAAATTGAAATTAAAAATCTAGTTGTGGAGCCTGGAAAATCGGTACCCAGCTCCCCAAAGGCTAATTCATTAATTAATGCACATTATCAGCTGCTCCTGAATGAAGCCAAGCTTTATTTTAACAGCAGGAGAAGCTGCAGAAGGTGGGAACATCCCCAGCAGCCAGGGAAGGGGAAGTGAAGCTTCCCACAGAAAGGGGCTCTGATGGAAAGTCTGAGTGCAGGAAAGAGAAATGTTGAAGCAGCACTTAATGAAGATGAACTTCCCCTGCCTCCCCACAAGGCAGACGATGCCATTATCACTCAGCACCAGGAAGGAAAGGGATTCCAGGGAAGGGGAAATTGCAGGGCAGTTATCCTCATCAGCCTGGGCCAGCAGCACTGACAGGGCTTGGCACAGAGCCTGAGCAAAGTCTGCTCATGGTTAAGCACAGGGCATGAAGTGAGATGTGCACAGGGAAAAGAGCCCCTGGAAAATATTGCTAAGGGCTTCAGCTCCTCCAGGGTGCCAGTGGCAACAAAATGCCTGACCCTATCCCCCCACATCCGCCAAAAAAACCCAGAAAAAGGGATTGCATCGAGCCAGAGGAAACAGGGGAGCTCCACTGGCCTGGCAGGGATGGAGGAAGTGCTGAGTGATCTTCACACCTGGAGAGTCAGGGGATCTGCTCCTAAATCCTCTGGGCAGCTGCAGCCTCTCCTGATCAGTGATCTGCCCCACACCTGGAGAGTCAGGGGATCTGCTCCCAAATCCCCTGGGCAGCTGCAGCCTCTCCTGATCAGTGATCTGCCCCACACCTGGAGAGCAATTCCACTGGGCCCTGGCTCCTCTGCAAGGTGCTCTCCTGGTTCAATGTGACACTGAATTTGAGCCATCTCGCTGCCACAAACCCTCCCCAGCCCAATCTCTGGCAGCAAACAGTGCAGTGCTGCTCCTTCAATCGCTGCCTCAGGACTTCTCCCTTCAGCTAATCAGGAAACACAGAATGACAATGCTCAAGTGAAGCCCTGCCACACATAAAAACTGTCATAAAATGGAAAAAGGCAGAGGATGGAGCACAAGATCCATTCTGTGCTCTGGAGCAGCAACCAGCAATGCCTCTGTTCAGAAGTCAGGCTGGGGGAAACACCCAAGTGCTCTTCATGGGCACAGCCCACAGGGGATGGAGAGGGGCACAGTTAAACCAGGTGTGAGTGGGCACACTCTGCAATGCCTGGACACAAACCTTCAGTGCCAGCTGCTTGTTCTGTGGGCAGGAGGAGCACGTGTGTGAGGAGAGAAAGAACCAAACCCCAGGTTTACAGAAAAGCGAGGCAAGACCTTGTCCTTACCGTTCTGCTCGTCCAGCTCATTGCCAATCTCCTGCCCCATTTGTTTCTGCCTGGATATGATTGAAGAAAGAGCATCGAGCCCAGCATCTTGTTCTGCACCAGGAAAATATATTAAATTACTTCCAAGAGTTGCTGAAATGCCAGGCTACATAAAATAGGTAGAAGTGAGGGAAAAAAACAACTCTGTGTTTAAAGGGCTAAAATGTATTAAGAAAAACACATGAACACAACATGAAAATTAATCCTTATGGCAACAGTGCTCTTGAAATAATGTGAATGATGGGTAAATAATTTCCCTGCTCTGGCTGGGACATTTTGCTGAGGATCCAAAAAAAAATAAAAAATCCAAGAATTTAACATTTAGCTGTTACTCAATCATAAATGCAGGGGATTTTCTGGCACGCACAGCGAGCTCCAGATTAGCCTTTTTAAATTTTCCAAGCAACTTTTAACATGAATAAAAGAAAACAGGTGATGCAAACGCCAAAGAATTCCAAGAGATTTTGAAAGCTGCAGAGGGTGGGGAGAGCTGAGGGGATGAGGGCAGGGACAGTGTGAGGTGCTGGGGGAAGAACCACATCCCCTGGGCCTTGCAGGGAGCCCCTCAGCCCAAATGTGCAGCTCCCCCTGCCCAGAGCTGCCAGGGTGGCACAGCAGGAGCTGCAGAGGGGCAGTGCCAGGGCACAGCAGTGATGCCCAAATGGGCTGCCCAGGACACCTCCACTCCAGCAGCCTCCTGCAGGCCCGGTTTAATTGCCTACAATGTAATTAAAAACGCAGCTGAGCCCCTCCTGGCCCATCAGACACCCTCCTGAGCTGCACAGCAGTGGTTCCCAGGCAGAGTGAAGCAGGCTTTTCCTGGAGACTGATTTCATTGCATCACTTCCAGGACTGGAATTGCCTGGGAATGACCTCATCTGCCACCTGACCTCCCCAGGCTGAGCTTTCCCAACACTCCCAAAGCCAGAGACTCCTCATGGGTGCAGAGGGCCAAAATCTGAAGACCCTTTTTGGATTAATTAATTTGGAGTTAATTCTTACCTTGTCCCAATTCAACGACACATTTAATGCACCCAGCAAGGCCCCTACAGCCAGGGCAGTTATGTGATCACACTGCACACAAAACCATGAATATGGGCAAAATCAGGACCTCTGAAATTTAATTTAAGAGGCTGCACCCAGATAAGAACATTGCAAGCACAATGCTGCCCCTGCAAACACAGAAAGCAGCTGCCTGGAGCTGCTGTGTTTGACATCTGTAAAGAATAAAACTTCAGCCCAGGCTGGAGTACTGAGGTTCAAACCAAAGCTCCTCTCAGAGTCCCAGAGCTCCTCAAAACAACCAGAAAGGCTCTTGTACCTTCAATGATCCTTCTCTGCTGCTGCCTGAGCTCATCAAAGCCAAGTCCTCTGGTCTCCTCCGATTCTTCCAAGAGCCAGGGGTTGGTGACGCCTCGTTTGGCCCCTCCTGCCATGAGGCTGGACCTGAAAAGAGCCCAGGGAGTGATTCCCACCCCTGGCACACAGCAGCACCCAGGGCTGAGCCCTCTGTGCAGCCCAGCAGGGATCAGCCAAAACAACCCCCAGGAACAAACCCACCCCGCAGGCTGGAAGTGGTAAGGAAGGACAGAATTCATCCTACAGGGATCAACAGACTGTATAAGAAATCCACAGATTGTATAAATGAATAAATAAATATGTATGCATGTATTTATTGTATAAATAAATAAAAGTATATATGTATTTATTGTATAAATAAATAAATGTATATGTGTATTTATTGTATAAATATATATATGTGTATATATGTATGTGTATATATGTATGTGTATATATGTATGTGTATATATGTATATATATAAAAATAAATCCATATAAAATGCTGTTTGCACGTAGAGCACACAGCATTCCTGGGAATACAAATTATTCCTGGGTTTGCTACCTGATCAAAGCACATAAAATACTGCTACAGCCTTAAACAGCAAAAGGATCCACTTGTTAACAGAGATGCAAATCAGATGAGACTTAATTCCCTGCAATGCTGACCAGACCTAAGCAGGAACATTCCTGGGTTTTGGGAACTGAGGTGGACACAGCTCCCTCCCTGCATTTCCTAGTCTGGCACCAGCCCGAACGAGAAGCCAGGAGCACACACTCCTAAATGAAAGAGTAATTAAATAATGGGTTTTCTTTTCAAAGAATTATGACTTGAGATTGTTCACATTACAGACACCTCCCTGGTGACCACAGAAAACAAGATTTCCATGTCCAGGGCACATAAATCCAAGCAGTAAAATGAAACCCCACTGAAATATTTCCTCAGTACCAGATTTCTGCTTTCTGCCTTCCAGCCCTTCACGGGTTTCCCTACAGGACAAACCTCAGAGCAGACTGGAGTCCCCTGACCCCAGAAGTGCAGCTCAGCTTTGGGGGAGGCATGGTGAGGCTGCTTCCCCCAAACTGGAGGAAGCTGGAGCAATTCACAAGTTGGAGCTTTGCTTTCTGCCTTCCTTCCTTTCAGCTCTGTATTTCATCCCCATTGTACCTCCTCCCTGCTCTTTCCCAAAGCACTTCCACAAACAACCCAAGAACAGGGAGGGCTTTTAGGATCTCTCAAGCTCCCAATTATTGGAGCTTAGTTTAAAACAATTAGTTATTTTAGTTATACACCCAGACCTACACGAGAACGCTGCCGTTGTTTTGGTGATTTTAACTGGGTTCTTATGGAGCTGCTCTGATCCTCCCAGTGCCCCCCTGTGCTGGGCACCCCTCTGTGGCCACGCCCGGGGCAGGGGGGCACTGGGGGACACTGGGGGGGACACTGGGGAGCACTGGGGGAGGCACTGGGGCGACACTGGGGGGGGGCGCCGAGGGGACACTGGGGGGGACACTGGGGACACTGGGGGGCATTGGGGAGGACACTGGGAGGCACTGAGGGGGCACTGAGGGGGGCACTGGGGGAGACACTGGGGGGCACTGGGGGGACACTGGGGGCTCCGGGCCCTGCTGGCACTGAAGGCTCCGAGCCCAGCCCAGCCCAGCCCAGGCTCCTGCAGCAATCCCGGGCAGCTGGGGACATCTCCTGGCCGTGGGATGGAGCAGCGCTGCTGGAGAAGCGCCCGAGCAGAGCCCGCAGCTCCTCTGCCTGGCCGCGGCAGCGCGGGCACGGCGCTCCGGCCCCAGGCGAAGGAAGAAGGAAAAAAATAAATAGGAAAAAAATAAATAGGAAAAAAAAATAAATAGGAAAAAGAAAATAAATAGGAAAAAGAAAATAAATAGGAAAAAGAAAATAAATAGGAAAAAGAAAATAAATAGGAAAAAGAAAATAAATAGGAAAAAAAAATAAATAGGAAAAAAAATAAATAGGAAAAAAAATAAATAGGAAAAAAAATAAATAGAAAAAAAAATAGGAAAAAAAATAAATAGGAAAAAAATAAATAGGAAAAAAAAATAAATAGGAAAAAAAAATAAATAGGAAAAAAAAATAAATAGGAAAAAAAATAAATAGGAAAAAAAAATAGGAAAAAATAAAGAGAAAAAATAAAGAGAAAAAAATAAAGAGAAAAAAATAAAGAGAAAAAAATAAAGAGAAAAAAATAAAGAGAAAAAAAAAAGAGAAAAAAAAACAAATATAGGGAGAAAACCAAATATAGAAAAAAATAGAAAAAACAAATATAGAAAAAAAATATAGGGAAAAAAATATAGGGAGAAAACCAAATATAAAACAAATATAGAAAAAACAAATATAGAAGAAAAAACAAATACAAATACAGAAAAAACCACAAATATAGGAAAAAATAAATATAGGAAAAAATAAATATAGGAAAAAATAAATATAGGAAAAAATAAATATAGGAAAAAATAAATATAGGAAAAAATAAATATAGGAAAAAATAAATATAGGAAAAAATAAATATAGGAAAAAATAAATATAGGAAAAAATATGGAAAACTCACTTTTAATGCAAGAGGCTCAAAAGCACTTTTTCTAAGTCTCAGCATCTCCCTTAACCACCCAGTGATGCTGAAGCCCAAAGCAGAGCCAGCCCTGCTGTGCCACGACCAGCTGGGTGTCCAGGGAGAAGAGCTGGGATTGTTCTGCAGCCCAGCCCTGCCCCTCCATTAAATTCCCATGCATTTCTCAGGGCTGGCAGTCAGGCTGGATCAGACAAACTGACACACCTGGAGTGCAGTTTTCCACAGTGCCCAGCTTCCCTCCCTGCTCTGGGGGATTAAATGGGCCCCTTGATCTCCCAGTGCCACCAGTGGCACCAGTTTGTGACCACGACAGAAGCCTTGCTCTGCTAAAGGTGGAACCAGCACTGCAGCTCTCCCAATTCCCCTCAATTAGAGGGACACAAACCCCAGGTAACCACATCTGCCAGAGCTGTTTAACCAAAGCAAAGGGAACAGAAACCCTCTGCTTGCTAAAAGCAGCACAGCTATTCCTGCCTGCCCCAAAAACAGCCAAGGCAAGCAAATCTGGGACAATTTGTGGCCGTGCCTCTGTCCCTCCCCAGCAGTGCCTGCCCCACTCCTGGGGCTGGGTCATGGCCAGGGTGTGCTGCTCACAATAATCTGTGTGACATGTTTGGTAACTGCCTTCCCCTGCACACAGCCCCACTTCCTCCTGCCCTGCCTGGTGTGAAGATTAAAGCTTATCCAATTAGCCACCCACTGCCTCCACGAGTTAATCAGGCAAATCTGGGGAGCCTCACAGAGCACGGCAGTGTGGGGATGGCTTTTGATGAGGGGAGCAGATTTAACTAATTACAGGGCTCAGCGATGTGCCCGAGCATAAAAGGTGATGGGGTTTAAAATCAGGGAGCTCTGTCACTGCCTAACAAGGGAGGGCTTGTCTTTTGTTTCACTGGTCATTCTGAGAACACCTCCCAAGTAACTTAGATTACTCAAGCAGCACTTACTTCAGGCCACACATCGAGGCTTAGGGCTTTGCAAGACTGATCAGCAAGACTGAGTCTTAAACAAAACCTGGGTCATCTGACAGTTGGGTGGATGATCACTTGAACATTCCCTGAACTGCAGAGGGGCTCTTTGAAGCACCCAGGGCACCCCAGCCTGGCTTCACAGGTCACTCTCCACAGGGGGGCTGCAGGACTGGGGCATTCTCTCTCTTACAGTGCTCACTCTGTATTTTTAGGAAGCTCCAAGCTAATAAATAAAACAAATTTCTATACAAATATAGGAATTTGTAAAAAAAAAATCCATACAAATTTTCTATGTAACAATTTTCTAATAAAAATTAATTTTCTGAAATAGAAATTTTATGAAATAGAAACCCTCTCTATCTCTCCAAAAAACCCATGAGATGCCACACGAGCACAGGCAGCTCCAAATCCCCTCCAGGACCATCCACCTGAGCCATCCCCATCCCTGGATGCTGCAGCACAACTGGGAGGGAGGGAGGACACCAGGAAGGGCTTTCAGAGGCACCTCAACAACTCCTGCTGATCTCATTTCCTTATTTCCTTCTTTTCTTATGTGCCCCTCACAAACAGCAGCCAGATTCCCAAAGGTGTTTGACACCTGAACCTGGGCACTCATGGATTGGAGCCTGTTTGGCATCAAGTAAAATTCCTGTTTGGGTCCAGGCTGGAATCCCTTCCATCTGTGAGGAAAGGCTTCAACCAGGAAAATGGTGACTGAGGAGAAAAAAAGATTATGGACTCTTCTAAAAAGTACCTGGGGTACCTCTTGCTGAAGGGGCTTTGTGTCCCACAGGCACCAGAATTTGTCTCTATTTCTGAGGAGTTCCAAGAGACACCAAGGAAGGGCAGGAATTCATTGATCCTCTGGTGGCTGACATAGACTCCTCCAGCCTGAGACCTGGCCAGGCAGAAATGGGACTGTTCCCATCCTTCTGTCTCCACAGATGTTTAAATGTTCTAAAAGTCTCACCTGTGGCACCCAGAGAGTCCCCATTCCTGGCTGCTTTCCCCACCCCTGCCTTGGCAATGCAGGGACACCCTGGGGATTCTGCCCTGCTCAGCCCCTGCTCCAACAGCCTGCACAGATCCTCCCGAGAAGGAACAGGGCCAGAAGAGACTGAAAGTGTCAGGAAATCCCCACTGAAGGGAATGGAGCTGGCCCTGCTCGAGGGGGGCACACAAACAGCCCAGCCCTGCCCTGGGAATTCCAGGGGCTCCTTAATTAGGGCTGGAAGGGGCAGGAATGCTGTCCCCAGCCAGGGAGAGTCCTGCAGCAGTTGTCACTTGGGATCAGCCCTGGGAGCATTAAAGCCCAGCCCTGCAGCCCAGAAACAGCTTCAGAGCAGCTTTCACAGGATGTGGAGCTCACTGAGTGCTGAGCAGAGCAAAGCAGCTTAATTCCAGGGCAAAGCTCCCAGCCCCAGGCCCTGCACAGCAAACATGTGATCAGTGGTGCAGGAAGGTTAATGAAAGGAAGGGCTGCTGGCAAGAGCAGGGCCTGGGCACCGTGGGCTGTCACTTCAGGCCTGGATTAGATCTGGAAAAGCAGCACCAGCCAGGCAAGTGTCAGTGCTCAGCTCCATCAAAGCCCAGGTGCTGATTGTTCTAATGCAGGGCAAAGCTGAGAGTCAGCCCCAGGCACATTCCAGGGGGGCTCTGCCACCTCCAGGCTCCCAAAGCTGGGCCAGGATCTGCCAGGGGGACCCCGAGCTGGGAACGGCAGCTGAGCCCTGCAGAGCCTGGGGCTCCATGCCTGGCACCAGCTCCTGCCAGGACCTGCCAGGATCCCCCTGAGATCCCCCCAAGATCCTCCTGAGATCCCCCCAAGATCCCTCCAAGATCCTCCTGAGATCCCTCCAAGATCCTCCTGAGATCCCCCCAAGCTCCCTCCAAGATCCTTCTGAGATCCCCCCAAGATCCCCCCAAGCTCCTTCCAAATTCCTTCCAAGCTCTCTCCCAGCCCCTTCCCTACAGACCCACTCCCAGCCCAGGCTCAGGCAAGAGAGCAAAGTTGGATTTCCTGGCACAAGATCCAGGCCCTGAGGTGTCTCTGCCTGTACCCCTGAAAACCAGACTATGGAAGGGGTGGGAATTCACCAGATGGAATATTTGGCATAGTTTTATCCATTTTTAATAAAAGAAATTAAAAGAGAACTATAAAACATCAAGCCTTGCAGCACTAGCAAATAAATACTCTCTGATGTTATCTTCTGCTGGAAAATACTGGATTCCCTGATCGTTTCTAATGGGGCTTGAAATTATCAAGGGATTTTGGTATTTTCCTCCTGTTTGCCTTCAGTTTTACCTTTCCTATTTCCCAGGCTCTGCACTGCACTGGTCAATAACTCTGAACTGCACAGAAAGTGTCAGCAAGGTCTCCTCCCAGCTCAGGCACACAGAACAATCCTTTTCCAGCCCCAGAACCAAGGACACCGCTGCAGCCTCAGCCCCAAAAAGTGCAAACAGCAGGGAATGGAGGAGAGCAACCTGGGAGGGTGGGACTGCATCACCTGGAGCTGGGATTGGGCACTGAACCCCAGCGTGGAAATGGAGCAGAACTCATCAAAGGGTGAAAACTCCTGACTCTGAGTCCATCCTGGGCCCACCTTGGGTGCAGCCCTGCCTGGGCTCTTGCACTGCCCAAGGTGCATCCTTTGAAGGTTTTCTTAAATAAATCCCCACTTCATTCCTTTAACACTGTCCAGCCTCTGTTCCAGGAGCCTCTCCAGGCATCAGGAGAGCTGCCAGGAATGTGCTGTCACTGACAAAACCCCCTCATTTCTGAGCAAATGCCTCCCTTTGGTACCTGCTGGGGCAGATGAGCTCAGCTGTCACCCCAGGTGTCCCCAGAGCTCAGATCCCCGGGGATTTGAGGGGACAGGGCCATACCTGCTCATGTCTGGCTCGGGGCCTTCATTCCTGTAGGATGCCTCCAGCTGCCTGTGCCGTGTCACGAGCTCATCCACCAAGTTCTGCCTCCTGTCCCCCTCCAGCTGGGTGCTGGTGGCTCTGGGTTAAGGACCAAACTCACATGGCCTCAGAGCTCTCCCCAAGCTCCTCTCAGCCCATCCAGTCAAGGATGGGGACACAGAGTGACCAGAGGCAGGCTCTGTCCCAGCAGCCCAGAGTGCCCAGCCCTTCCTGCCCTGACAGTGACAACAGCAGCACAGAGACCCCTCTGTGCCCAAGTGTCCTGCAGAGGGAACCAGGGGAAAGCCAGAGCGTGTGGCAGGGGGGGACAGCACATCCTGCACACACACTCTGCACATCACATTTTACACTGCACATTCTGCACAGCACATCCTGCACACACACTCTGCACACATTTTACACATCACATTCTGCACAGCATATCCTGCACACACACTCTGCACACATTTTACACTGCACATTCTGCACAGCACATTCTGCACAGCACATCCTGCACACACACTCTGCACACATTTTACACATCACATTCTGCACAGCACATCCTGCACACACACTCTGCACACATTTTACACTGCACATTCTGCACAGCACATCCTGCACAGCACATCCTGCACACACACTCTGCACATCACATTCTGCACATCACATTCTGCACAGCACATCCTGCACACACACTCTGCACACATTTTACACATCACATCCTGCACAGCACATCCTGCACACACACTCTGCACATCACATTTTACACTGCACATTCTGCACTGCACATTCTGCACAGCACATCCTGCACACACTTTGCACAGCACATTCTGCACAGCACATCCTGCACACACACTCTGCACACATTTTACACTGCACATTCTGCACAGCACATCCTGCACACACACTTTGCACACATTTTACACTGCACATTCTGCACAGCACATCCTGCACAGCACATCCTGCACACACACTCTGCACATCACATTTTGCACATCACATTCTGCACAGCACATTCTGCATAGCACATCCTGCACACACTTTGCACACATTTTACACTGCACATTCTGCACATCACATCCTGCACACACACTCGGCACACATTTTACACATCACATTCTGCACAGCACATCCTGCACACACACTTTGCACACATTTTGCACAGCACATTCTGCACAGCACATTCTGCACAGCACACTCTGCACACACTTTGCCCAGCACATTTTCCCACTTTGCACAGCACATTTTCCCATTTTGCACAGCACACTCTGCACACATTTTGCACACCACATTTTCCCACTTTGCAGGGCACATTTTCCCACTTTGCCCAGCACATTTTCCCACTCTGCACTCTGCAGGTGCCCCAGCCCGTGGGCAGCTGCTGGCACAGATGCATCTGCCGAGTGGACACCGCCCGCAGCAGCTGCTCCCTCAGCTGCTCGATCTTCTCCCTGAGGCTCTGCAGTGAGGACCTGATGGCCACGTTGACCTGGGGGAACACAGACATTGTCACTGGCCTGCTCTGGCAGATCTGCACCACATCTCATGTAGACATATCTCGGGTTTGTTGCTGAAATGGCTCCCAAGGTATTAAAAAGTTTTTTTTTCCCAGCCCCATGACAGAAGAAGGAGTCGAGATTTGTCAGTTCTGTTTTTCAATGTTGTTTATTTTCTCTGATCTATTCCATTCTTTCTCTGACCTGCTGAGGTCTGTCCAGCAGGTTGGGTTGTGGCACACTGACCACCCTTGGGGTGGTGTTGGCTTTTTATACTAAGAGCTACCTGTGCTTTATTTACAATAATTTCCCAATACCCATCACCTATGTTACACAGTCTGTCTCTGCTCTAAACCAATCCTGAAGTGTCACCATCACAGCAGAGAATGGAGGACAAGAAGAAGGACAGGACACTCCCAGATTCCTCCATCTTGCCTCCTGAACCCCTAAAATTCTACATTTTCACCCTGTGACAAATTCACTATCACTCTGCTCAAACTCTTGTGGCTTGTAACTCTTCACACAAAGTTGGGAATTGTTTCCATGGGTTACAATCAAACCCACAGGTGTTTCTGACTCTGTGCCAAGGTCTCTGAGCCCCCGTGAGGGTCTCGAGTCCTCCAGGGCAGCCAGAGCAATGTCCTGGGATGTGACATAAATATTTAACTTTTAGTGCACAGGTGTGAAGGGCTCCACTGCAAGCCCAGAGAGCCTGTTCAGAGCCAGGAGTCACTGCTTGCAAAACAATGGAACAGTTTCACAAACACAACGCTGAGGCATTAATGCTGATGAATATGGAAAGCTGTCTTTCAAGTCTTTACAAACACACTTCTTTATATGGGCAAAACATTTCAGCACATTTTAATATTTTCCAGATAAATTTCCAGCTCTTTCCTCTGATCTTCAGTAAAAGTACAGGCACCAGCTTCTTTTGCCACTGGGTTTCTTCCCCAGCTACCAGATCAGAGAGGAGGCTGCTACAGGTTCACACATTCCCTGCACTGAACTCCTCCAGACTTGAAACCCAAGACCCCAAAGAAACCCAGATTGTTCCATTTCCCTTCTCAGCAGCACCCAGCTCCCCAGTCCTCTCTCACCACTGAGCAGCCCAAGCCCCAGATGTGTCTGCTCTCAGTAAAATTCAGCCATTCTTGCCTGCTGCAAGCAAACCCCAGGCTGGCAGGAGCCCTCCTGCTTTCCCCCACCCCTTCCCAACCCAAACTCACATTATCCTGAGTTTGTCCTCCTAGGATGCTATTTCTTTTCATTCCAGTTATGCAGAAAAACCCACTCAAACTGCAATTAACAATGCAAGTCGTCCTAATTAAGACTTGCTGTGCCTCTTGTTTACAACCTGTGGCTGACAAGGGGCAGCAACCCCAGCTTCTGCATAGGGAACTGGGACCAGAGAGGAAAATCTGCTCTCACTCTCAGCCCTGCCCTCCTGGAGCTCCAGAGCCAGCAGCAGCAGGGCAGGGCTGCCAGACCCTGCCTGAGTGCTCAGGGATGGAGCAGGAGAGCCTGAGAGACTGAAACTGCCTGGGATGGAGCAGGAGAGCCTGAGAGACTGAAACTGTCAGTGATGGAGCAGGAGAGCCTGAGAGACTGAACCTGTCAGTGATGGAGCAGGAGAGCCTGAGAGATGGAACCTGTCAGGGATGGAGCAGGAGAGCCTCAGGAGATGGAACCTGTCAGGGATGGAGCAGGAGAGCCTCAGGAGATGGAACCTGTCAGGGATGGAGCAGGAGAGCCTGAGAGACTGAACCTGTCAGGGATGGAGCAGGAGAGCCTGAGAGACTGAACCTGTCAGGGATGGAGCAGGAGAGCCTCAGGAGATGGAACCTGCCTGGGATGGAGCAGGAGAGCCTGAGAGACTGAACCTGCTTGGGATGGAGCAGGAGAGCCTGAGAGACTGAACCTGCCTGGGATGGAGCAGGAGAGCCTGAGACACTGAACCTGTCAGGGATGGAGCAGGAGAGCCTGAGAGATGGAACCTGCCTGGGATGGAGCAGGAGAGCCTCAGGAGATGGAACCTGCCTGGGATGGAGCAGGAGAGCCTCAGGAGATGGAACCTGCCAGGGATGGAGCAGGAGAGCCTGAGAGACTGAACCTGCCTGGGATGGAGCAGGAGAGCCTGAGAGACTGAACCTGTCAGGGATGGAGCAGGAGAGCCTCAGGAGATGGATCCTGCCTGGGATGGAGCAGGAGAGCCTCGAGAGATGGAACCTGTCAGGGATGGAGCAGGAGAGCCTCAGGAGATGGATCCTGTCAGGGATGGAGCAGGAGAGCCTCAGGAGATGGAACCTGCCTGGGATGGAGCAGGAGAGCCTCAGGAGATGGAACCTGTCAGGGATGGAGCAGGAGAGCCACAGGAGATGGAACCTGCCTGGGATGGAGCAGGAGAGCCTCAGGAGATGGAACCTGCCTGACTGGCTGGGGCTTGCTCTCAAACACCACCAGACACAGCAGAGAGCAGATGCAGCCAGGCTGGGGCAGCCAAAATGCACCTCTGGATCAAAGCACCCAACACCCCCACAGCACCAGATCCAAACCAGCACAGGGGATCAGAGATCTGGGGAGTGCTGAAGCCTCTGTGGGGCCTCCAGCTCTGCAGTCAGGTAATTAAAGGTAATTAATTTTGTTTGTTCTCAGCTCCAGGTGGAGAATGCTGCATTTGACTGACCCAGAACAGCAACAGAGCACAAAGGTGACACGGCCAAAAAAGTCAGCAAATGCAGCAGCCTGGCCAGGAACTGCATTGAGAGAACAAAAGATTTCCTCTCCTGTACACAAAACTAAGGTAGAAGAAAAGTAGAAACAAATAAACCAGTGGAAGTTTTATGATCAGCTGAACAGAGCAGAGTTCACAGGTAAGTGCTGGATTAAAATCCTTCCTCACAGTTTATTTTTCCATTTTAGATTTTGTGCTCTATTTTTGGCTCAGCAACAAGCAAGAAGTTTGTCAGCCGTGCTAATTGCAAACTACTACAAAAATAAACCCCTGTTTACATTCTCCCTAAAAGGCCAGTGCTGTACAAAGACATTTCCCTGCATTTCAGCACTCAGGGGGCACAGGACACACGACTGCTCAGCCGTGGGTTTCTCAACAGGCATTTCTGTTATGGAAACACCTCTCTCCTTGTGGGAACCTTGTTTAGAGTAGAATCAAACGCTGCCAAATATTCCCCTTTACCTGTTAATGGATTAAAGGAAGCTGGAAAACACAGGGCACGGGACAAATGATTTTATGGAGAAGTCAGCCACCCCTGCAATGTTTCCATAAAACACAAGCCCGGAGAGTTCCAGCCCCACAAAGGCTCCAAACAGCACCAGCCCCACGTTCCCCTGGGCTTTGGGCTCCTCAGGGTGGCCCTGATGGCAGGAGAGAACTTTGCCCTCTATAAATACAGACACATTGAGCAGCAACCTTTTTATTGGTCTGCTGATGTTGAGGTGTATCTGTGCAATTCTGATACTTCACCATGCTGAAAGCAGGAATTTAATCTGCTCCTCCAAACTCTCCAAAGGCAGAGAAAATACTGCTCAAATCCCACTTATTTGGGGTTTCTGAGACCCCTTCTCAACTCCTGCTGAAGTGAGGCTGGCATTCAGCAGCACTGATTATTGTGCACAGCCTACACACCCTTCCTCAGAACTTCTTCCAAGGAAACATTTCAAAAAGGGCATTTGATTTGAAGAGCTCTCATCAAAGTGAGTGGCCCAGCAGACCCAGTGATCAGGCACTGCATTACAGCCCTGATACAGAGAGGGGGAGAAAAAGCACTGGGGCTTTAATTATGCCAATTGTTATAAATGACCAACTCAGGGCTTACAGCAATTTTCATCTGAACACAGCCAAGGGAGCAGGTAATGACTCAAAGCTGCTCCTGAAGGAAGGGACAAGGCTTGGAGCCACAGGGAAAGCAGACTCCTAAAAACCTTATTTTATTTCTTACTTATTAATTCTTTCTTATTTATTCTTTCTGTTTCTTTATTTCACAGAAAGTGGAAAAACATGGAGAACACAACATTCCTGGGTGAATCCAACTGCTGCTTCTCGTTCCTGTTTAACTTTGGGCTTGCATTTTGATAGAAATGCAGCTAAAACAAGGCTGCAAGATTGATACTCCCTCTGATCTGCAGCCACTGCAAAAGACAGGAGCCAGCCCTGGGTGAGGAACATCCCTGTTCAGAGAGAGAGGGAACAGAGCATCTGCTGAGCACCCCTGAGAATGCCAGCCTCTGGGACAGCTCCATCCCAGCATCCCTGAGAATGCCAGCCCCTGGGACAGCTCCATCCCAGCATCCCTGAGAATGCCAGCCCCTGGGACAGCTCCATCCCAGCATCCCTGAGAATGCCAGCCTCTGGGACAGCTCCATCCCAGCATCCCCGAGCCTCTGGGACAGCTCCATCCCAGCATCCCTGAGAATGCCAGCCTCTGGGACAGCTCCACCCCAGCATCCCTGAGAATGCCAGCCTCTGGGACAGCTCCACCCCAGCATCCCCGAGCCTCTGGACCAGCTCCACCCCAGCATCCCTGACTCTCTGGACCAGCTCTATCCCAGCATCCCTGACTCTCTGGACCAGCTCCATCCCTCGGGAACAGCCCGGAGCAGGCAGCGGGGCGTGCCCAGCACGGGCACGGCTCCTCCCTGAACCAGCGCTGCTGCACGCACAGATTCACCGGGGCTGACCCCAAACCACCGGGGAGCCGCTGTTCAACCCCAAACTCCCTTCTCGTTCCCCTTACAGGGCCCTAAAGGGACAGACAGCGGCGCTGGAACACAGCCTTCCCCTGCGGGTGCCGGCAGCGACACAGCCCCGGCCCCGGCCCGCTCCGACCTCTGCCCCGCATCCCGGCAATTCCGCTTCCTATACCGGGAATTCCTCCCCGTTCCCCGGGAACCCCGCCCCGCATCCCGGCAATGCCGCCCCATATCCCAGCAATGCCGCCCCATATCGCGGCAATGCCGCCCCATATCCCGACAATGCCGCCCCATATCCCGACAATGCCGCCCCATATCGCGGCAATGCCGCCCCATATCCCGACAATGCCGCCCCATATCCCGGCGATTCCGCCCCATATCCCGGCAATCCCGCCCTCCCGGCACACCGCACCGGCCCCAGCCCCGCCTCGCCCGTCCCTGCCGGGCACCTTGGCCGAGCTCTCCCCGCTCCGCTGGCAGCGGCTCCGCTCCTGCAGCTTCTCGGCGATGTCCTGGGCGAGCTGGCGGGCGGCAGCGAGCAGCGGGAGCCTGCGGGGACCCCAGCGGCTGAGCCCGGGGCCGAGGGATGGGATGGGACGGGACGGGACGGGACGGGACGGGACGGGACGGGACGGGACGGGATGGGATGGGATGGGATGGGATGGGATGGTGATGGGGTGGGATGGGATGGGATGGGATGGGATGGGATGGGATGGGATGGGATCCGATAGGATCCGATGGGACCCGGCGGTGTAAGCCTCGGGAGGGCAAGGCACAATAGCCCCAAAACACACAGCCAAAAAGCCTGGGACGGGTTCTGGGAAAGGACCCTGGAAGGAAAGGCACAGCACCCCCAAACACACAGCACCCCGAACACACAGCACCCCGAACACACAGCACCCCCAAACACACAGCACCCCTGAACACACAGCACCCTCGAACACACAGCACCCCGAACAGACACACGCACACCGGCTTTGGGAAGGCACACCCCGCACAGCCCGGCCCGCCCAGCCCCGCTCCCGCCCGTGCCGGGCCCCGCAGGCTCCGCAGGCTCCGCGGTCCCGGCCCGGGGCTGACCCGGTCCCGACCCGCACCCCCGGCCCGGCCCGGCCCGGCGCTCACCAGGGGTCCGGAGCCATCGCGGCCCCGGAACCTTCGCGGCGCTTCCGCCGGATCCGCCCGGACGCGCCGCGCGCAGGCGCCGGGAGGGGACGGAGCGGAAAGGGAAATGGGAGAGGGAACTGGGAGAGGGGAGAGAGGGGAGAGATGGAGGGGAGAGAGGGGAGAGATAGAGGTGGAGAGAGGTACCGGGGTACGGGCCGGGGGAGCGCAGCCGGCCCCAGGGGTGCGGGGAGCGGGGCCGATGGCGCAGCGGCTCTGCTGTGCGGGGCAGGGGGCAGAGGGGAGAGACGAGTGTTGGGGGAAGAGGGGCAGCATCAGGTGTTCGGGACAGAGAGGAAGAAGGATCGGGTGTTTTGGGGCAGAGGGGCAGGATCAGGTGTTCGGGACAGAAGGACAGATGCAATGTTCGGAGTTTACAGGGACAGATGTGCGGGGCGCAGGGACAGATGCAATGTTCGGGGTTTACAGGGACAGATGCAATGTTCGGGATTTACGGGACAGAGGGGCAGAGGTTCAGTGCCCAGAGGGCGGGCACGGAGCTTTGCAGTACCAGGGGCAGAGGTGCAGGTGTCCGGGGTGTAGAGGTGCACAGTACAAGGTGCAGATGTGTGCAGATGTGCACAGCACAGAACCAGAGCTGTCCCCACTCCTCCCTGCTGCCATAAACCCAACACTGAGCGATGGCACCGGTTCCTTTCTCCAAACCCCCAGCTCTGACCCTGTCCCTGCCCATCCGCAGTGACATCGCTGCCCTCCCTGTCCCCGCCCCGCTCCCGGTGACACTGGCGCTGCTGGCACTGGCGCTGTTTTGGCTGCGGTGGGCGCAGCCCCTCGCTCCAAGCCCTTCCCATCCCTGATCCGCCGGCATTTGGCCTCTCCCTGTGTTTTTGGATGCGATCGGTGACGCAAATCGGGCACAAACCTGAGGAGCAGCTTCGGGGCGCTGCCAGCGAGGCTTTATCGCCCTCGTGACGGGGCCGCTGGGCCTGCTGATAACGGCAGCGATGACGGCAGCGATAAGGACAATCACAACAATGCTGATAACGGTATTGATAACGAGAACCAGCGCATCTCGTCATTCCCGGGGCTGATCCCCGCTCCGCTCCCCCGTTCTTACCACAGCAGAAACAACTCGATTTTAAAGGCAAATAAAGATCCTTTAAAAGGTTAGGATGCCTATAAAAGTGCCCGCTAAGTGCAGCCCGAGCTGAGAGCAGCGCTGTGCGACCGGGGCGGTGTCCCGGGAGCCTCTCCAGCTGCTCGAGGCCGTTTTTTCTCCAGCCCAGCCCTTCTGTCGGTGAGCACAGCGCTCATTCTGCAGCTCTGCAGCGCGTTCTGAGGCTGGAACCGATCGGTCCCGAGCATTTCCCGGGGGCACACCGGGAACGCCGGAGCCCCAGGGCCGGGCCGCAGCAGCCGCAGCCCGAGCGGGAGCACGAAGGTTATCCTCGGGAAAATCAAGGCTTCATTTAGTGCCCGTGTTGCTGTTTGATGCTATCTCGGCCCACGGGGTGTTTACAGCCCCCGGCCGGGCCCGGCGCGGAACTGGGGCAGGAAGGGGCGATGCGGGCGCGGAGCCGCTCCACCCCTCGCTGTGTTTACCCCAAATAAACGGCGGGGCCGGGGCCGGCCCGCACCTTAAAAGCGCGGGCAGGTGCGGGGCAGAGGGGACCCGGCAGGGGTGGCCGAGCTGGCAGATGCTGCAGCTGGGGCTCAGCCTGCCCCGCTGCCCCGGGGGCGCGGCCGCCGCCTTCCCCATGGCCGAGCCGGCGGCGGGCGAGGAGCCGGGACCGGGCCCGGGTGAGTGCGGGACCGAGCGGGACCCGCCCGTGCCGGGACCGGGGCCGGGTGAGTGCGGGACCGGGGCCGGGGGGTGAGTGCGGGGCCGAGCGGGACCCGCCCGTGCCGGGACCGGGGCCAGGTGAGTGCGGGACCGGGGCCGGGGGGTGAGTGCGGGGCCGAGCGGGAGCGCAGGGGCTGGGGCACAGCCGGGTCCTGCCCCGAGCCCCCGGCTCGTCCCGGGCCGGGCACAGCCGCAGCCTCCGTTCAGCACCCGGGGCACCAGCGGTCGGCTGGGCTCGGGCCGATGCTTCTCGGTACCCGGGCAGGGCAGCGCCCTGAGAGAGGAATTTGGGGTGAATTTGGGCTGCAAGCAGCCCCTGATCGCCCCCCGGTGTTGTCTCAGCCTGGTTTCTGTGGCCAGGAGCCCCCGTGACTGTGCCGGGGTCAGGCTGTGTCCGGGACAGGAGCCGGCCCGAGCGGCTCCGGATCCAGCAGCTCCTGCCCTGAACCAGGCTGAGCCCGACCCGCTGCTCCCGCTGGCCTTGGGCAGGCGCCAAACTGAGCTGGAGAGCGAGAGCCAGAGCCGGGCCCGGCCCGGGAGCCTCCCGATGTGCCACCACGGGCTGTCCCCGTGTCCCCTCGGCTCGGTGCGAATCCATCCCTGACCCCAGCAGCCGAGCACAGGCACGGTGCAAACACCCGAGGGTTAATGAGTGCGCTAATTGCGGTGTCCCCGGCCGTTGATGAGCGCCCAGCAGAGCTCACCCACGCGGGGACAGCTCCCAGCCCCGGCAGGGCTCGGCTGAGCTCTCCCGAGCCCCGGGGAAATGCCGCTCCCGTCCGTCTGTCCAGGCGGAGCTCGGAGCCTGCTCTGCCCAGCGCCGGGCGGGGGCTGCCCGAGCCCTGATCGGGGCCGGGAGCTTTGGGAGCGGGGAAAAGCCCCTCACGGTGTGAGAAGCAGCCCTGATCGGGGCCGGGAGCTTTGGGAGAGGGGAAAAGCCCCTCACGGTGTGAGAAGCAGCCCTGATCGGGGCCGGGAGCTTTGGGAGAGGGGAAAAGCCCCTCACGGTGTGAGAAGCAGCCCCGACACCCAGCTGGGACCTGGCCCCACGCTGCTCCGGGGCCCGGAGCTGATGGAAGCGGGAGAGGGCAAAGCCTGAAACGCTTCCCTTTGCGGGGGAGAGCAAAGAAACGCAGGACGCGGCTGCGGGACTTCAGAGCGCCCTGAGCCGGGGTGGAACGCCGCTGGTGGGGCCGGGAGAGGCGCTCAATAAAAGCTCCTTGTCCCGCAGAGGGGCTGGGCTCATCCCCGGTCACCATCGTGGTCACGTCCGAGGCCGACACCTGGGACATCGACACCTCCCCGGGCCGGGGCTGCGGGCCCTTCGTGGACTGGGCCAAGATGCCGGAGGCGCAGGGGCCGGCGCGGATCCCGCGGGACGTGCTGGGCCGGCCCCCGAAGGAGCTGAAGCGGCTGGCGAGGGAAGGCTGCTGGGCCGGGAGCCACGCGGGCCGGGCCCGGCTCTACCCCCGCCTCATCCAGCGCGTCTCCTGCCGCCTCGTCACCCCCGACGCGCTCGTGTACCGGGACGTGGCCGGCCGGCTCTTCGGGAGGCGCAGCGTGAGCTCGCACCCGCTGCCCGAGTTCCTGGAGGGCTGCCCCGTGCCCACCTACTGCCTCAGCCCGCACGGCGTCGCGGCCCTGAAGAAGATCCTCATCTGCGTGGGCGCCCTGTTCCCCGACATCACGCACAGCCCGCTGCTGCCGGCGCTGGCGGCGCTGCTGCTGCACTACAGCGAGGACGAGGCCCAGTGCTTCGAGAGCCTCTCGCGCCTCATCGCCAGCAACGCTCCCCACGCCGCCTACATCGACCAGTCCTTCCTGGCCCACCAGGCCTCCTGCATGACCTTCGGGGACCTGGCCAGCAAGCACTGCCCCGCGGCTCACAAGCTCATCGCCGGCGCCGCCGACAACGTGCTCGAGGTCTACTCGGAGTGGCTCTCGTGGCTCTTCCCCGGGCTGCCCTTGGCCTACGCCGTGCGCGTGCTGGACGTGTTCCTGCTGGAGGGCCAGAAGGTCCTGTACCGCATCGCCCTGGCCCTGCTGAAGCAGTTCAGGCTCTCGGTGGCCCCGGCCGGGCCGCAGGGCTCCGACGTCAAGGCCGAGCTGCAGGCTTTCGTCAGGAACATCGCCCAGCACGTCACCGTGGACAAACTCCTGGAGAGAGCCTTCGGCATCCGCCTCTTCTCCCGCAAGGAGATCTGGCTGCTGCACATGGCCAACAGGAAGGCCTTGGTGGAGAGGGGCATCACCGTGGTGCAGAGGAGGTGAGGAGAGCTCTGCACTCCCAGCTCTGGGGCCGAGCCGGCAAAATGGGAGCTCCTGTGGAGAACTCTGGGGGAGCTGCAGGAACCTCCCACAGCTGTGGCTGTGCTGGGCCCTCGCAGCCCCTGGGGGACCCTGTCAGGGGACACGGCCCAGCAGAGCTGGGGACCCTGCAGGGCACACGGCACAGCCAGAGCTGGGGACCCTGTCAGGGGACACGGCACAGCCACAGTCAGGGACCCTGTCAGGGGACACAGCCCAGCAGAGCTGGCAGTGTTGGCAGGGAGCTCACGGTGCTCAGGGCAGGGCAGAACCTGCTGCAGGGGCTGTGCCCCATAAAGCACAGGGCCCCAGCCCGTCCTGATGTCCGTCCCCCCCAGGCCGTCCTTCCACCTGGCCGTGGACATGCAGAAGTTCAGCTCCAGCACGGTCACGGCACAGGAGATGCGCCTCGTCTGGTCCTGGCTCCCCGAGCGCTTCTCGCTCTTCCCCCCGCTGCTGCTCTTCTCCACCTGCCAGGACGGCTGCAGCCTGCAGAGGTGAAGCCTCACCTGCCCCGGGGCCGGGGCATGGGGGAACCTGGGCAGGGCTTGGTGCTGGAGGAAGGAGCAGCACAAGTGACCTGGGCACCGCAGGGGCTGCTGGGGACCCTCCTGGGCTCAGCTCGGGGTCCTGAGGGTGGCTGAGGGCAGAGGGCAGAGCCTGGCCCAGGTGGGCACCGGCACCTGGGCACCGCCCGGGGCACAGGGAGCCCTGTGGCTGTGCCAGGCAGGGATGTCCCCTGTGCCACCCTGTGCCAGCACACTGTGAGTGGCCAGGGACAGCCAGCACACCCTGCCCAGGGCTCCAGCTCCCCAGCCCAGCCTTGTCCATGCCTGCAGGTTCTACACGTGCTGTGAAGGCTACGAACCCACGGTGCTGCTCATC